GTAGGCCGGCACATATCTCTGTTTAATGATGATCGGACGTATCCGAACTCCTAAAGGGATGTCTATCATAGAAGATAGAGTTGATAAAGCATCAGCGAACTTGTTGTTCTCTCTTCATTGATGCGTAAAAGTCAATTTCTCAAACCTAGGAATCAGAACGTCCAGGGTCTGGTGATAGATCTTCATCTTTTCTTTTTTGACCTTCCAGTCTCCATTTGCTTGAGACACAACTAGGTTTGAGTCCCTGATGACGTCTAACCTTTTGCCGCTAGTTCCAAGGTGGCTTCCAAACCAGCGATACACGCCTCGTATTTTGCTTCATTGTTAGATACTCTGAACCGGAGTTTGAAGGCTAAAGGTATATGGGAATTTTCGGGTGCTATCAGCAACACCCCTATCCTATAACCATACTGGTTAATTGCTCTGTCAAAGTACATCGTCCAAATCTCTTCCTCGACTTGCAAAATAGCTTCATCCGGGAATAGGTATTCTACCTCTTCATCCCCTTCCACTAGGTGATCTGCCAGGAACTTAACTACCGCTCTCCCCTTGACAGACTTGCAAGTGACATACTTCAAATCGAATTCGGAGAGGAGAAGCAACCAACAGGCTAGCCTACCCGGAAGTGCTAGTTTCTCAAAGAGATATTTGATAGGATCTAATATCGAAACCAAAATTATGGAGTGAGCTAACAAGTAGTGCCTCAACTTCCTAGTAGCCCATACCAAGGCTAAGCAAGCCTTCTCCAAAGGGGTGCAGCGGCTCTCGTAGTCCAGCATTTTCTTGCTCAAATAGTAGATGATTTTCTCCACCCTATCCTCTGATTCCTAAGCAAGCATGCATCCCATCGTTGTATCTTTGACTGATAGATATAGAATCAAGGGCTTCCCTAGCTCTGGTGGCGACAACACTGGTGGATTTTGGGGATACTACTTGATCTGCTTGAAAGCGAATTAACATCGGTCATCCCATCGGAATTTCTTTTCTTTCTTCAAGAGACCAAATAGTGGTTCACAAATCAAGGTTAATAATTTTGCAATAAACCGTCTTATGAATTGCACTTTACCCAAAAAACCTCGCACCTCCTTTTCAGTCCTTGGTGGTGGCATTTCTAGTAAGGCCTTGATTTTGGAAGGATCTACCTCGATGCCCCTCTGTGTGATCAAGAATCCCAGCATTTTTCCTGCTGTTATGCCAAAAGTACACTTCTGTGGATTCAACCTCAATCTATACTCTCTGATCCGTTGAAAGAATTTCTCTAAGGCGGTGTAGTGGCCCTCTCTTTCCTTGGACTTGACAATCATGTCGTCCACGTACACCTTAACCTCTTTATGGATCATGTCATGCAGGATTGTGGTTACAGCCCTTTGATAGGTAGCCCCAGCATTTTTTAGCCCAAACGACATCACCCTGTAGCAGTAGGTTTCCCACGGCGTGGTGAAGGCAGTCTTCTCTCTATCTTCGGGTGCCATCAGAATCTGGTTATACCGAGAAAATCCATCCATGAAGGAGTGCAGCGCATGGCCTGCGGTGAAGTCCACCAATTCATCGATGTGTGGTAGAGGAAAGTCGTCCTTCGGATTGGCTCTGTTCAGATCTCTGAAATCCACACACACCTGAATCCTGCCATCTTTCTTTGGCACCGGAACAATGTTGGCCAACCAAGTTGGATACTCAGATACTAGCAAAAACCCTGCGTCTATCTGCTTGGTGACCTCCTCTTTGATCTTCAAAGCCCAATCCAGACATATTCTCCACAACTTCTGTTTGACAGGTTGGGCCTCGGGGTTGATAAAGATCCGATGCTGTATAATCTCAAGATCGATTCTAGGCATGTCTTCGTAGGACCACACGAAAACATCTTTGAAATCTTTTAATAAAGCGACTAAGCGCTCGCGTTCCTCTAAAGACAACGTGGACCCGATCTGGACCAGACGCGGATTCTTCTCAGTACCTACATTAATTGCAATCATTTCATCAATAAGGGGTTTTACAAACCTCTCATCCTCTCGATCAATCAAATGTTTCAAAACTAGAGGAATTCATTCCTCATCGTTTTTAACAAAATTTTGAAAATCATGATCAATGCAATATACAAGTGGCACAAAGTACTCAAAATCTACAATGGCATTCTCATTCACACGGTCAAGCTCATCCAATTCCTCGGTTACAATCGAATCAAAAGAAAAGGAAAAAAATGACCAGGACAAAACATCGGCATTCGGGTTATCAACCCCAGGAATACCGGACCCAGACTCAGAGGAATTGAAATCTGATTCCGACCCCACAAACTCTGTGGAATCAGATTCTGGCTCACTATTTGACTGAGAACTGTTGGACAAATAGCCCTCCTCCAACTGCCAAATGAGGGATGGTGTGTTAGATGCATCCAGAATGCCGCTAGAAGGGTTCGCACGCGATTAATCTTCAATCATGGAAACAACCAGGTTATCCCCAAAGCTCTCTGAGTTGATCTGAGGATCCGAAAGGAGACATGACAGTGCTACTCCTATTTGAAGCTCGTTGTTGTCGGAATCACTTCCCATGCTCTTCGGAGTCTCAGCGGTCAGTTCAGTCTGTTTCTCCATATCACTCTCTTGTAGCTGCAAGTCAAAGAAGATCTCAAAGCCAGGAACCCACTACTTCTCAGAGTTCAACCATGGCTCAGGAAAATCGTAAAATGGGAACTCTTCTCCCTCCCAGACAAAGTGGCCATTCAAAGTTCCCTGAATTGGCATGTGCACAAGTTCATAGTGCTTCCCAGTTTGTTTAGCTCTGGCCCTTTTGGCCATTTCTTTCCCTTTCCTCACCTAGTCCTCTTTGGTGGGCATCTAACCAAGTCCGAAGGCATACGGGTTATGTGGTACATCGGCCAATGCGTTGACACCCTTCTGGCCACTCCTTTCTAATCCCATCCCGGGCATGTGTTGTAGCTTGTTCATGGGGTACACAGATTGGGCACTGACATACAAGCCCTTATCAATAGCTAAGACATTCTGTACTACCCGGGCCTCAGCTAGGTTAAACCCCGAAAGAAACACATCCACTTCGCCGTGTACAATCTCTAGTACAGGTGTAGTGACCTCTAGTGGAGGATGTATAGATGAATTTCTGAAGACTATAGCCACTCCTTTTCCATGGGGGGACTTCAGCATCTGGTGAAGGGTGAAAGAAACAGCTTTTACTTCGTGCAGCCAGGGTCGCCCAAGTAGTAGGTTGAAAGTGGCTGGAACATCCACGACGTGGAACTCAATATCCTGTTGAGTCGGACCAACTTGAACCCTAACTTGTACTGTTCCTATCACCTCTCAACTCGTATTGTCGTACGCCCGGATCACCTCGGTCGTAGGCACAAAATTCGCTGGCTTCAAGCCAATAGCATAGGCCATGCGAGACGGACATACATTGATTGCAGACCTGGTGTCAACCAATATGACTGGTACCCATTTTTCTCAGCATTCCATCAATATATACAGAGGCTTGTTGTGTGCAAAGCCTTCCGGCGGCAATTCCTTGTCTGAAAAGGTCAAAGTTGGCGCAGCGCCTCCCAGGAAGACCAGTCCGACTATCTGTTCAGGAGTAGTTTCGATAGAAAATTTGGCTTTATCCATCGCTGACAGTACAGCCTGTTTGTGCACTCTCGAAGCCATAAGCAGACCCCAGATAGATATGTCGGCCTGAATCTTCTTCAACTACTTTAGCACAGCCTCTTCCTCTAACTGCCTTTCTTTCTTATTCTCTGCTTCCTTATCCTTCCTAGGTGCCTTAGGTTGGTTTAGATGTGGTGGTTTGAAATATCGGCCACTTCTTGTCATATGGTCGACTTCTCCCACATACCAAGTGTTATCTAACAGGTATTCTTCCTAATCCTCGTTAGTGTGGCCAACATGAAGATCATCACCTTTCCACCATATTCCTTCGGTAACTGATAAACCATTGTTCGGTTCCGTTTTGATCATCACCTCATCAGAAGTATTCTCCATAGGGAGTTGAGTTGTTCCAACTTTTTGCTTACCTTGATCTCTGTCTTGTGTGAACCGCTTCAGTGCGGCCTCTTGTTCAGTATCCACAGTACACACGACGCCCATTTCTTGAGCGAAATTCTTAGTACCGACACTCTCTGGCAATTTACCCTTTCCATCGACCGTTCTGGCCATTGCAGCGGTTCCTGCTTTCTGTTTTTCCGGCTTCAATTCAGTTCCCTCTTCTATATCGGGTTCATCACTTAGCCACCCAGAATTGTCGTCGACACATTCAGATCGAACCAATCAATATGCACATCTCCTTGATCCTGCTCATCAAAGAATTACAAATTATCTATATCCTAATCCAAGTTGGCTAGATCATCTAATCCCTGGCTTGGGCCATCTTCTCAGACCACACTGACCTCTATCCTAGTCGACAATACCACCTCCATCTCCGTTTAATTGATTGGCACAATATAACAACCCGGGTTGTACACCCCCTCATCAAAGAAGTCCTCAGAGCCCTCGGGCATCGGACTGATATTCTCCACCAAGGCTGACCTCTCTTCATCTATCATTGTCACCACCACAAGGTTCGGGTTGGAGTGTAGACATGTTCATCATGCACAAGTGTGTGCTCTCAGGGATGAACAACACCAGCTTAGGTAGGTGGGAAGGAGTGATGTATATACTGGGGTCATAAGGGATGGCCAGTGTGTGGATGAGGTTTATATGCTGGGGTTGAGTGACTTGATTATGTGGTGGGAGAGGATTTGTAGTGACGTTGGGTTTCTGAGGGGGTACTATCACCTTATTGTTAATGAGATCTTGAATCTCAAAACGGAGACGGAAACAATGGTCGGTATCATGTCCGGGTTATTAGTGGAAGGTACAGTGTTTAGTAGGGTCATGTTTGGCTAGGAGAGGATTGGGAAGAGGTCGAGGATCAAGAAGCTTGAGATGCCCCTTTTCTATCAAGACCTTCATAGTTTTGGTGAAGGACATATAGAGATGGGTGAATGTTATGGTTGAAGTTCAGGTTGGGTTTGCTGTTTGTAAGCCGATATAGGCAAAAAGATCATCTATTTTGGTGGTAGCAGTAACCGAGTTGACTTCAGAAGGTTTCACAGCTGTGCTACTACTAGTAGTAGGATTGGAACTGTGACTGAAAGTTTTCTGTGCAGGCTCTTTATCATCGACAATAATTCCGTACTTGATTGCATCTTTTATCTGGATACCAATTTCATGTAGTTCTTTAAAAGTGAATAATGGGAGAACTATCATTTTTTGCATCATCTTGCCAGGCAAATTTCTTACCACCATATGGATTTGATCTTTCTCAGGTGGTCTATTAGTCATCATTGTCGCCTTGGCTCTCCATCTGGTAATGAAGGCAACAAAACTTTCATTGGGCTCTTGATGGGTTACTTCTAACTCCCAGGTGGTCCCTTCAATTTGGGTGTTATATACATATTGGGTGATAAAGGCCTCAGCTAGTTCTTCCCAACTCTGTTTCATTGAGTCTTCTACCTTGGCATACCAGATGACAGCTACTCCTAATAGAGTTCGTCCACATAGAGATAGCTTTTGTGAACGAGTCAAACCCAAAGGCTTCAAAACATCATAAAATAAACGACTATGTACCATAGAATCACAAAATCCATCGAATCTATCAATGTGTGGCATCTTGAATTGTTCAGGCAACTTGACAGTTGTTTCCGTATACCCGTCTTCAATGTCTGGGATAAAGTTGATTCCTTGCGACCTTTTGAACATTTTTCCCATGGGCCCATTTTAGCATAGTTGGATTAAGCTCATTTGTTTCTAGGGGAAAGAGCCCTCCCATTGGTTGTGGAAGGGAAAAAGGTCCAATTGACGATTGCGCGGGAACCCTCTAGTCTTTTTGCAAATTAGGCTCAGGAAGCTCGTCAAGTGGTGCAGGTGGATTTGGAATTGTATGAGTCACCGAAGGTGGTTAGGTAATGGACACCCCAGATAGGCATCGCAATTCAACGAGAGCGTCAGTGACCGTATTGGCAACAGTATCCACGCTTCGTTGAAGCAGTGTATGTATATAATTGTAGTATGAAGAAGACAAATAATATAAGTTTCTCATTTATGACTTTTTGGTCTTTGTATTTAATTTTGTGGAAATTTTGTATAAGCCTATGCCTAGGCTTGTAGACTTTGTTGTAAAGTTTTGTCAAAAGTTGTAAAGTGTTGGACGTAAGGTAAACATGCAATAATGTTAGGATAACTTTTGGTTTTTGTCTGTATATACAAGATGTATTCTATAAATTGGCATTCAAGCCAATGAATGAAGCAATGTAAATTCTCTCCATCTTTGTGCTTCCAACTTCATCTCTCTAACTCCACCCTAACTCCATCATAATTCCACAGAAAAATAAGAAAAAGCTCATTTCCTTTTTTGTTTTGTAATTGGTATCAGAGTTTGGTGAAGAGCTTTTGAAAGCAAGATCAAGCTATGTAAGTATTTCTGTCTATGTATAAATTTTGATATATATATATATATATATATA